ACTATTTATCCCGGTTAGAATATGTATATGGTAACCTTTTGTGGGACATAGGTAGTTTCTGTATTTTTCTTTTTCATATAATGCTTTATAGATAAAGCATTTTATATAATGCTTTAACAACATAAAGCCATGTTTAGTTTGGCAGCTGCGCAAAAACAAGACTCAAGGAAGATTTGGCCAATCTCGATTCAAGATGATTGAGCTGTTTTGGGATTCTGATTTGTTCAACCAATATGTTAGGATCTAAATCTCCAATTCCTGTCATTTGTGTACTTTATCAGAATAACATCTCATCTGCTCATTAATTCAGAGGATGACTAGAATGGGCCTCAGGAAAAGGCTTCCTGGCATGCCAAGATAGCTTTCTCAATAAACTGGCATGAATCCATCGACTAGGATTCTACAGGCATACTTTTATCACAAATCTACTTAAGCATGTTGCTATGCCACTTACTCAAAATGGTATTGCGACAACTTTGTCAAATGTGTTTCATAAGTATCAAAATAGTACTGGGCTTGAGGACCCCTCTGGGAAGCTCTATTTATCATATCTAAAATAGGAAATGAATTTTAGCTGGCATGAATCGTTTTTTTAGTGAACTAATGCTGCCGCCTAGTGATCAATTCCTTAAGTGCGCACAACCATCTCAGGAATCTTTCACTATCATCTTCAAGTCACTGTTATAATTTGTGACATGTGTGTTCTCTCCTTCTATGATTAAAAAAATCCCAGGGTCCATCACCTTGCCTTTCAGCCACTCTCTCCTACTACACCTTTTCTTCAGAAAAACTTTTATTGGCTGAGCAATTTAATTGCCAAGTTCACTCAGTGCTCTAGGTATCAAAAGATTGGCAATCTACAGCCCCCAAGCCAAATCTCATCCGTGAGCTCTTTGTGTAAGTAAAGCTGTCTTGGAACAGAGCCCTGTGGATTCACTTCAAGGATTGTACACGGCCTCTTTCATGCTACAAGGGTAGAGGGAAGTAGCTACAAAAGAGACTGTGGCCTTGAGAGCTTGAAATATTTACTTACTCTCAGGTCCTTCACAGAAACAGCCCAGCATGTCTTGCTCGACGTGGGCCCGGATTCAAGTTTACTCACCTG